CCTGCTGAAGGACCTTTCCCCCTGCCCTTTCTTCTGGAACAAGAGGTACCTACTGCGTCCTCAGGCCCACATCGCTCTTCCCTAAACACCACCCGCGTCCATGACTCACTCCCCAGTCACCTCTCGAGGTGCAGCACAACGATGCTGGCAACCAGGACAGGCACAACTCAAGGCAGGGAAGTTTGTGCCTGCAGCCACGACGACATGGAGCAGCATCCCGGAGGGTTTCCACCCTCGCCCTGAGCCCGGCTAGCAGGACTCAGGACTACGACCAGACTGCTAGCCACCACTCAGGTCCACAGCAACTCTTAACAAGTAAGCTTTTCTTGAATCAAAGTATTTCTGAGGACAGACACAAGGAAAGTAGGCTATGTGTGGCCCTGCAGGCACACAAGTCAACACGTCCGGAGCTGCCTCTCAGTACCCGTTGGACACATACAGCATTTAGAGAATTGTCTTAAGCAGCAGCCTTTCTGCAACTCTCCCGTTATTTTTCTGACTTCTTGTCACTCTCTTCTTTGCAATCAAGGACATTTCAAGTGACAAGCACTTCAAGGTTACTTCGCAGAATCATAATTGAAGATGCCCTGAAATGGGAACTACGGGGGAACAGATGATCTCGCACTGCAAGAGGAGGCAGCCCAGCTGGGAACGCAGCGCCAGATGAAAGGTAACCCAGCAGCGATAGCACTAAGCTAAGGGCAAAACAAACCAGCCCGAGCTGACTCCAGGATAACAGATCATTTAGCAGCAAGCTCGGCAGAACCAGTCTTTTCTGAATCAGGGGTACCCTCCAGGAACAGCCGCCCCTACGGCAAGTCCCCAGCGCAAGCAAAAGAGATCGTAAGTTGGCGAAGGAAAATCTCAGCTGGCAGCCCAGTCCTCCCTAGGAGATGCCTAGATACAGCGCAGCGAAGGAGGGAGCTGACAAACTGCCTAGCATCTGTCCTGGTACAAGTCAGAGACTATCAAGCACCCTCACGTACCAGCGCAATTGCTCCTTTATTCATTGAAATGGAAAACCCACTACACAGATGGGAAACAAACTACCCAGTCCCCCTGAAACACAGCTTTACAATATTTGCTGCTACCAAAGCCCGTGATGAACTGGGGGAAGCCTGTACAGGAGCCATGTATGTGATATACCTCAAGTTTATGAAAAAGTAATCATCAGCACGAGATCTAGAGCACACAGGAATGATAAACACCAGGGCATCTGAGCCGCAAAAGCACTTGAATCCTCATAATAAAGTCACATCTTGAACTGGCACTTGAAGTGTTTTCCCCACTTGGAAAAGCAGCCTTCCTCCAAGTATACTGGGAGTGCCTCGACGTTGTTTGCCTTTCTCTCAAAGCTCTCTCAGAATAAGCGGCTCTCACAAAGCCTGCCCAATTTTATCATTTTTAAAAGTCTTGGTCGGAAAAATTCAGGTTCTTGAGCTTTATCCCCAACCTCACTGCACAGCACTTCCATCCCGGGCAGTTGCTCTCCAGGCACAGCTTGCTTTTTCTGTCCTTGCTGGCCCTCCAACTTCTTTGCCTCTGCGTTCGTACCATTTGCAGAAATGCTCAAACGTACAAAACCAAAGAAGCAGAGAGGGTACCAAAGGCAAGTCATGCGCGGTGGGTCGGTTTTCATGTTTGATAGCCCAACATGAAGAGTGAGCCCTTCAAAGTTTGGGTTTGAGGACCTGATGATGAGTTTTCATAATTGCAGAAGCATGTGTGGCGTGGGGGGAGCAGATGCATCTTCAGTTTCCTCCAAGGAAAGTCTAGGGCTCATGTCTAGAGTCCATAATTTTTTGCAGTGTCATTTCTAGAACAGTCAAAAAACTTCATGCTCAAAAAGAATTGGAGCTTGTTTTTGTTTTGGAGGGGAGAATCAGTTTCTCCCAGGTTTAGATAGGAAAAAATAAGACGGAAGTAATAGTTTTCCATAATTAAAAACCCCACAAAACCAAAGATACTGCTCTTCAAGAACCCAAATCAAGAAACACCAGGATACATCACATTTTAAGTGCATTTTTTAAAAAAAAAAAAAAAAAAGAGACTCTCTTCATTTTTGTTATATTTGTTTTGACTTCGAGCTTCGAAGGCTACACGTGTGAATGAATGAGAGTCAGAAAATAACAAACAAAAAGTTTGATGACCCCCTTCCAAGACAAACTGCCAGCAAGTTAAATAAAGTCTACTTACTTTATTTCTGGATTGACAAGTTCCTTTAGCCAAGAGAAACAGACCCAAGACCTAGTTTGTGAAAACTGCTTCTGCCAGAAATATGCTCTAGGAGAAAGTTTTTAAGCTTGCTGGCAGCTGCAGCCTGGATCTTCTTTAAATAGGAATAAGGATAAAACATCAGCAAAAATGCAGCCCCAAGTTCTCAGGAGCAGGGTGGAAGGTCAAGACCACGATATCTAAATGCAAGAGACAACACGCTGTCTGCCAGCTTCCCCTCCAAGTCATAACACAGATCCATGCATGCACATTTAGAGTTAAGATTGTCAAGTAAAGCTCCCCAAAGGTCAGAAGACACCAAGGCCAAGTTGTCTAATGCCTTGCTTCTGTCCCCCTCCTCCCCAGCATGGGTATTAAGACCAGCTTTACTGTAATTCAGCAGAAGATAGAAGAAGCAATCTTAAAAGCCTCTAGCCAGCTCATGGTGCTGCCAGATATCCTCGTACTTCTTCCAAGTAGCGCTGGCATGCTCCAGACACCACGTTTCTAGAGCACACATCTCAAATATACTTTGTCATTAGCATTTTCTCCCCTAGAGAGAACAGTACAGACATGCACGCAGACAGGGAGCTGGCTCTGTTTCTGCAGACAGTTCCAAGAAAGATCTGTTGTTTCTTTATTTTTTTAAAAAAAGGTCTCCTTTGGAATAATGTGCACAGAATTTTAATTTACTCAACTAGACAAATGAACAGTTTCCCATTTGCAGCCTAAATTGTTCTCTAAGTGCCTAGATGGTTGTCAACACCATAATATCGCCTTACCTCTCGATTTTTAGTTTCACAAAGCATCTTTGCAAGTGTTACATACCCCAGGTTCCCACAGCATGAAGTGAAAAGCTGCACCCTCAGGTTCTCAGATCAAGGCTATTCTAGAGCCCTCACCAACCCTCCAACAGCCTTTCTTCTTTTTCTCCTCAACCTGCCTACAGGCTTCTGTGTGAGGTGGAAGACGACTGGACTCATCCCCAGACCTGTCTCGGGTCTTTTCACAATTGATTTTCAAAGTTCATTTCCACTCTGTTTTTGTTCCATGCTACTGGATTGGCACAACCCTAAGCACACCAGCAACAGAAATTTCCACATGAGTACGTCGCGTAGTTAACAAGAAACACAGAGAGATCATTTGTTATTGTATCCAGCAGCACATGTGGACACTTACTCTGCCAAAATCCAAACTCGTTT